CCTCCTCAAATATTTGCATCAAATACACTTTAATGTCGTCGTCCTATTTCACAGTTTTCCGGTTATCATTTTTAAAATATCAACTTTTTCCTTTCTCAAATAAATGTTTCGCAAAAAGTAAAAATCAAATCCAAATTTGAACATTTTAAAATGCAAAATTAGGAGCTGTGCAAATTCTTTGATCAAGATAACGAATTGTGCAAAAATTATTTTATTGCATTTCACAGAATCCGAACATTGAATAAAGAATAACACAGAAAAGGACTAAAAGAAAGGATTCACAATAAAGAACTTCATCGCAACTAAAGGGACTCTTTACTTATTTTAAGTGACCTTAAATTTATTAAGTGAAATGTCCGATTCACAGCAAAATCCTAAGTTGAAAAATAATATCCATACCTAGGTACAGTACTACCCACAAACTATCCATACCTAGGTACAGTACTACCCACAAACTATCCATACCTAGGTACAGTACTACCCACAAACTAACACGGTAAAGACGACTTGAAACTCTTTAAATATGACGATTACAAGTTTAAATTAATTCGTCCGCCTTGAGCGTAGTCTGTAAATAGTTCACTTAAAGATTTGGCAAAGAAAGAAAGAAGCTTATAGTTGCATGGAATCATGAAAAAACAGATGGTATAAATTCCTTACAGTCGTCTCTGTAGTTGCTGTATTATGTACACCCGGCTAGTGAACCCAAATACAAGTCTCAAGTTATAATTTTAAATAGTCCAATAAACATTAGACACAGTAATACATACTCATTTTCTTCTGTTCGCAATAGTTTCAGTAGAAGTAAATATTACCATTAACTGATAGCGCCGATTTAAGGATTTATATCTCTAATTGGATATTGAGATAGATAGAAAGATAGATGTTATCGTCATACAATTTCTATTGGTTCAGAATAGACAACAAACACAAGACTGAACCCTGATTGGATCAGGCGCTATTGGACTCGGCATACAGGAGTAATGTTAAATATCTAGACTACACTGCAAACAGCTCTCAAGCATAAATCAAACAGTATTTCGACAATTACTCCTTTTAAACTTTAGCTAGAAACAAGCGCGGTACATTTTTAAATGTATATGCCTAGGGCTACTAAAAAGTATAAGCGTATTGATGATGCTAAGCCAAAGATCAAGGCGGTGTGATATTTTAAAAATTTGATGACTAACTTTCCGAGTTGTTTAGATCTTAGTGACTGCAGGCTGCTATAAAAAGTTTCATTTCGCAATACCTTGGCCTTTTATTTCTACCTCACTAGTCCCAGAGATGTACATTTTAGAACTGTAAAGCACTTGCTTTTAGATCACTCCTGTATGCCGAGTCCATTAGCGCCTGATCCAATCAGGGTTCAATCATGTGTCTGTTGTTTATTCGGAACCAATAGAATAGTATGGCGGTAACATCTATCTTTCTATCTATCTCATTATCCAATCAGAGATAAATCCTTATATCGGCGCTATGCAAATATTTACTTCTACTGAAACTACAGTAAGATTTAGTCTTTGAAAAGAAAAATTTTAAAATTCTCATTAATTTTTGCGTGAGAACTTTCAACCTCGGGATCCATATGAGGGATGTATTTCTCGTAAACCTATGTGGAGAAAAAAACAATTTCACTGTATGCTTCCCTTTTACTCTCTATCCTCCCACCTTCAGTTTCTTCTCTCTCCTCAACATGTTTCAAGGATTAGTTTAATAGTTTACATGTGGTATCTAGCCGGAATTTAACTCTTTAAAAAACATACTTTAAACATATTTTATTTTTCATTTTTATCCTGCATACTGTATACTGTATCATGTATCCTGTATCCTGCATACTGTATCCTGTATCAAGTGTCTTGTGTTCTGTATCATGTATTTTCTATTGTGTATTTGTGTATTCTATACCTTGTATCCTGTATCCTGTATCTTGCTTCCTGTATCCTGTATCCTGTACCCTTATCCTGTATCCTGTATCCTGTATCCTGTATCCTGTATCCTGTGTAGATTGTTTTGAATCATTTGTCCTGTTTCCTGAATCCTATTTCCTGTATCGTGTATCCGTTATCCTCTATTCTGTATTCTGTATTCTGTATTGTGTGTCCTGTGTTCCGTATCTGTCTTTTTGAAAAATTTTCAACCTAACTTTTCAATATATTTTATTGGAAAAACAAATCAAAAAACTATAGTTTTCTTTGCATACTTGCACATATGAAAGTAAGAAAGTTGAAGGATGGATATTGTTAAGGATGAGGATGAGAGAGTAAGAAAGGTGAAGGATGAATATTATTAAGGAAGAGGATGAGAGAGTAAGAAAGCTAAAGAATGAATATATTATTAAGGATGAGGATGAGAGAATAAGAAAGCTAAAGGATGAATATATTATTAAGGATGAGGATGAGAGAGTAAGAAAGCTAAAGGATGAATATATTATTAAGGATTAGGATGAGAGAGTAAGAAAGCTAAAGAATGAATATATTATTAAGGATGAGGATGAGAGAATAAGAAAGCTAAAGGATGAATATATTATTAGGGATGAGGATGAGAGAGTAAGAAAGCTAAAGGATGAATATATTAATAAGGATGAGGATGAGGATGAGAAAATAAGAAAGCAAAAGGATGAATATATTATTAAGGATTAGGATGAGAGAGTAAGAAAGGTGAAGGATGAATATTATTAAGGATGAGGATGAGAGAGTAAGAAAGCTGAAGGATGAATATTGTTAAGGATGAGGTTGAGAGAGTAAGAAACCTGAAGGATGGATATTATCAAGGATGAGGATGAGAGAGTAAGAAACCTGAAGGATGGATATTGTTAAGGATGAGGTTGAGAGAATAAGAAAGGTGAAGGATGAATATTTTTAAGGATGAGGATGAGAGAGTAAGAAACCTGAAGGATGAATATTGTTAAGGATGAGGTTGAGAGAGTAAGAAAGGTGAAAGATGAATATTATTAAAGATGAGGATGAGAGAATAAGAAAGCTAAAGAATGAATATATTATTAAGGATGAGAATGAGAGAGTAAGAAAGCTGAAGGATGAATATATAATTAAGGAGAAGGATGAGAAAATAAGAAAGCTGAAGGATGAATATATTATTAAGGATGTGAATGAGAGAGTAAGAAAGGTGAAGGATGAATATTGTTAAGGATGAGGGTGAGAGAGTAAGAAAGGTGAAGGATGAATATTACCCGTCAAGTCTAATGTTAAGTCATATTTGTGCGGAATCTCAGCCCTGTGCAAAACTGTGCAAAAATGTGCAAAAACCTAATTGTTTGTAGATGCAATCCCAGCTTAAACACAAGGAGGAAGAAATTCAAGTCCTAACAAACTCGGAATGTAGCAACTTTTATTCTCTTCATAAACATAAGAAACTCTTTTCTGAGTTCCAGTTGGTAAAATTATTCATGCCCCCCCCCCCATTCCCTTTGCAATTTTATTAGAACATATTGAACTTTTTGGGGAACGTAGATTATTATTTTTTAGGAAAAAGTATATAAAGATGTATAAAAGCTTGTATAAGATGATATCAAATTTAGAATCCAACCCCCCCACACCCAGTCCCTCCTTTTCTTTTTCTGCATTGAAAGTTGCAACATGTGTTTGCAGATGAAGGATAGACAAGTAGAGTTGGGGAGATTGCAACAACAATTACAGGTACCAAACATAATCCAATTAAAAAAAAATCTAATAAATAATTAATTAATGCGACCTCAATTTTCTGTTAATAGTCAAGGAGTTAAAAATAGTATATAGAAATATGAATTTACGCTATTTTATGTAAAAACAGTCAAATTAACTTTTATTAGATTTAAGCCCCATCATTTCTAGAACTGAACTTTAGAACCCATAATAGCAAGAACTGGACCTTTGTAACCCATAATATCAAGAACTGGACTTTTAGAACCCATAGTATCAAGAACTGGACCTTTAGAACCCATAATATCTAGAACTGGACCTTTAGAACCCATAATAGCAAGAACTGGACCTTTGTAACCCATAATTTCAAGAACTGGACTTTTAGAACCCATAGTATCAAGAACTGGACCTTTAGAACCCATAATATCTAGAACTGGACCTTTAGAACCCATAATATCTAGAACTGGACCTTTAGAACCCATAATATCTAGAACTGAACCTTTAGAACCCATAATATCAAGAACTGGACCCTTAGAACCCAAAATATCAAGAATATTCCATTTAAGAACCTGTAATATCAAGAACTGAACCTTTAGAACCTGTAAAATGTCAAGAACTGACCCCTTAGACCCCATAATATCAAGAACTGACCCTCTTGTTCAAGGTTGATCAAGAATCAGCTGACCGCCTAATCTTGAGCCTGCAGAGTAAAGACGACCTTATTCTAGAGCTTGACAAAAAACTTCAGGATTCTAACTTTAAGGTACAGGGTGTTCAAAATCATATTGGATCGTGACATAGATCTAAATCGGAATTTAAAGGACACTAGCTTGAAGCCCCAGCTTTGCCTAGAAAATAACCGTTTCGTTTTCCGTTTTTTTCTGCTTCGTTAACAAAACGAAACGATCGTTTTTCAAAAAAGTGAACTCGATCCATCCTTAATTAAGAAATTCTATTAATGATTCGTCAAGATGCCCTTTAAACGACAGACAGACAGCCCAAACTAAACTCATCACATTTTATCTTAAATCGAGGTCGCTCCCTTTGTTTTGCTCATTTGGTTTTTGTTAACACCGCGGCTGTTTTTTTTCGAAAAATCCGTAGCGCAGTTATCAGATTTAAGAACTAAGATATTTCCTTCAAAAATTGTAAAAGAAGAATTTTTTAATCGTTTGAATCTTTTTTAGATTTTGAGTGACGAGATTGAATTTAAAAATCAAGAAATTCAGGAAAATATTAATCTATCTATCTATCTATCTATCTATCTATCTATCTATCTATCTAGAATGATGATGAGTATGATGAGCTAAGGAGAATGATTGTTGTGAGCAGAGATCTCTCCAGGTCTGTCGGGAACAGTCTCATCAGGAATATGGGTAAGTTTTATATAAAGGGACTGTACAAGATGGCAGTGACTAATGAAATTATACTGCAAAGACAATGTCGGAACTCAATATGTTTTAAGAATATAGAAAGACAATAAATTTCCTATTGGCACGCGATTAAACAGATACTATTATAAATCGGACATTTCATTTTATCATTCCTTCATTGCCATCTAGTGACAAGTTGGAAATTTACATGCAATGATTATATTGCCATCTATCGGCAGGATTTTAAAGCAGTTGAGTTAATCTTTACTATTCTCTTTCTGTAGAGAAACCAATCAATAAAATAAGCCCCGGTTTTCTGCCGCCATCTAACGGTATAAAAATCAATCAATAAACGAGTATTTACTGCCATCTATCGGCAAAAATATCATTAAATGAAATGTATTGTAGAGGAGAACGTTGACCTTGAGTCTGAGACTAGTTCAGATGAATCTACTTGGAACCTGGAACTCCCGAATATATTAGGGATAAACCTGGATTCAGATTCAGAAAACACAGGTAGGTCCTGACCCAGGGACCAAAATAATACATTTGATAAGATGAGAATATATTTAGATATTTCAGGGACCAAAATAATCACAGAACAGAGATTAGTATAGAAGAGAAATAAGAATTTCCCTCGGTTTGAATTTGTTTAGCCCCTTTAAGCCTGAAAAGGCATTTAAAGTGTACAATTCATGTAAATGTTCACAAATTATACGCAGTCATCACAATAATGTAGTATAATCCCTGGACAATACATATCTGTTACAATTTCTTCTTTTCATAAAGTTTATGCAGAAATTAACTCGAGAAATGCATGAAAGGTTGTCTCTAGAGAATTGGTTTGGAGAAAATTCAATAATTTTCAAGAAATTTGTTTCTATAAAAAGATGTGTGAAGTACACCTGCAGTATGGAAACAGTACAACAAAATAACGGTTTTACACTTTTTTCGACTTAATTCCACTCTATACTTATCTAATAATACATATACAAATTCCAGAAAACAAAAACTTATATTTAAATAGTCCACTAACCAAAAAACGTTCATTTAGATGGTCCAGGGATCTAAATATTATATTTAGATATTCAAGGGACCAAAACGATACATTTAGACATTTCAGGGACCAAAGCCCTAAAAATTTAGAAATTCCAGGGACCAAAATAATATATTTAGATAATTTAATAGATAAAATAACATATTTATCAATATGACTAAAATATGGTTTCTTGATATATGATATTAATTCTAATTAGCTTTCACTGAAGTATCTGATTTTTAGAACTAACAAAGGATAGTAGAGAAGCAGAACATGCAGGACTTGGAGGGTTTGGACATGGAGGTCATGAAGCACATGGAGGACATCGAGAACTTGGAGAACTCGGAGAACTTGGAGGACCTGCTGAAGATGATTCAGATGTTTGTAATCATGTAATACAACATCTTCATGAAGAAATAGAGAAACGAGAAATCAATCTTCGATCCAATCAATCAATAATATCCAGTATACAGGTAGTAATCAATAATATCCATTTTATAGATAGTATTCAATAATATCCAGTTTACAGGTAGTAATCAATGATATCCAGTTTACAGGTAGTAATCAATAATATCCAGTATACAAGTAGTAATCAATAATATCCAGTATACAGGTAGTATTCAATAATATCCATTTTATAGGTAGTATTCAATAATATCCAGTTTACAGGTAGTAATCAATAATATCCAGTTTACAGGTAGTAATCAATAATATCCAGTATACAAGTAGTAATCAATAATATCCAGTATACAGGTAGTAATCAATAATATCCAGTACACAGGTAGTAATAAAAAATATCCAGTTTATCAATCAAATATCTTTATTAATCAATTAATCCATCAAACATGTGTTTTAATGAATTAATCAGTCAAATATGTGTATTAATCAATTAAATATGTATTTTAATCAATTAATCCATCAAATATGTGTTTTAATCAATTAATCCATCAAATATGTATTTTAATCAATTAATCCATCAAATATGTGTATCAATTAATTAATTCATCAAATATGTGTATTAATCAATTAATCAATAAAATATGTGTATTAATCAATTAATCAATAAAATATGTGTATTAATCAATTAATCAATAAAATATGTCAATAAAATATGTGTATTAATCAATTAATCAATAAAATATGTGTATTAATCAATTAATCAATAAAATATGTGTATTAATCAATTAATCAATCAAATATGTGTATTAATCAATGATTTATAACTTTAGAGTGAACTAAGAGAGAAGGATAGAATCATCAGAGAACAAGTGGAAACTATCAATTCTTACAGGTTCAACAATTTAACAGTTTAAATATTAAAATTTAGCATTTTCATAAAAATTTGATATTTGTCAATTATCCTCTTTGAAAAACTTGTAACTTTGTATAATCAGGAAACTAGTAATGTAAAGAATCATTTTAATGATATTTTTACTAACTGAAAATAAAAATGGTCTCAGTATGAAACCTTGTGATACACCAAGAAAATTGTTTTTGGAAGTGAATAATGATAATAATGATACCTAGGGAGGAGCTAGTCTGCCTGGATGACCCCACCAGCTACGGCGGGGGGAACCCGCCTTGTCCCAACCAGAGACGGCGGGAGGCTGAACGATCCCAGCTCCGGCGGTTACGGCGGCGGGTCAAACAAGGATTAGAGAAGCGTTCTACCCCGGAAACTAATGTAGGAATAGCGCAAGTAAGTTTAAATACTATGGAATAGACGACGACATTTAGAATCAAGGTAAAACTTTAAAAAGCCCAATGAGCAATACAAACAGCAATTGTGCAGGTGAAACAGTCCCATTTCAATAATTTAATTATCTAATGACTAATGAGTGTCTAGTAAAATCTGCTTTTTACCAACATCAAATACACCTAAGTATTGCTATAATGTCGTCTTCCTATTCCATTGTTTTCTTATTAGACCTGTAGTAAATTCTAGAAATAATTATCTAAATATTGTAAAAGTTACAGTAAAAAATTATTTATTTATGAAATATAAAAAAACATACAAAATAAAGTGTTTCAGGAGAAAATATTTAAAAACCTCTAAAACTAGAGGTTGTGGGAATATTTCCCCCTATTCTAAAAAAAAATATAAAAAAAGGAAAAGGAAAGGAAAGGATAAGGAAAGTTACATATTTATTGTTTACATATCGACGGAGCTAAGAATATTTATTTCATTATAATACAAATTTGAGAAATTGTGAATGTTTACATTCCACCATTTAGAGAACAGTGGAATGGGAAAATTACGTTTAGATTCAAGTTATTCTTTTAAATAGTCCATTAAGCATGAAGCACAGAAAGTCTGCATTACCACTTCGAAAGCTTATTTTCAAGCTTTTGTAGAATTATTTAGTTAATAAAACTATAATTAAGAAATACTGAAATATTGTCTACAATTCTACATATTTCTGGGTCTCACTGTATATATAAAATAAACAGTTATGTGTATATTTATAATGATTTTATAAATTATGATCTAAAATGAGAACGCAAAAGGAAAATTTGTAAATAAAGTAATCTAATATATTTTTTTCAATCGATTATTTATTTTAAAACAAACAAAATATATTTATAAAATCTAAAATTCAAGAAAACTGGGGTTTCTCGCATTCTGGTTTATTTTGACAGATCAATCAGACCCTTGATCAGGGAACAATCCCTTTAAAATAAATATTCAAGGCTTTATCTGGAGATTCTTCTGATTATTCTGAACCTGAACCGGGAATATCTCTAGCGAGAATAGGTCTTCAACCACAACTATTAAATGGTAAATATAGTTTTTCTACTTTTTTAGAAAACGCAAGGGACAAGAGAAATAATAAAATTCACAACAAATTAATTAAGAAATATTATAAAATATAAACTATATACAAATGTGGCGAAAGATAATCGAGGACTATAAGTTGTAATATCTGAATGATTTGTTTGAAATTAAATTGATTTTTTTTACGGTCTAAGTCGTATGTTGCAATTTTCTGAATTTGTATGGGCGCTAAGTTATTCTGTATGAGACGTCTTTAACAAGTTTCTCCTTTTAGACGCAACAGATAGAAGTAAGATTAGTAGCGATCAAAAGCGCTTTTTTATCGCATTAAACCCCCTTTCATTTTTCGCGAACACTCCCTTTAATCTTGAGACAATTTTTTTCAAATTATTTAAAATGTGGCATCTACTCTAATATTGGGTGTTAGGTCCGTCTTAAAAGTAAAAATTTGGTTGTGTTAAACTTTTGAATTTTGTATTTCAGATGAACATTGTGTCTGTAACTCCAGCATTTTCCTTTCTGATTCGGAAACCGAGCAAAACAGTAAGTGACTTTATTTTATTGAGTTTTCTTGTATTTTTTTTTGATTTTTTATGTTTCTTTTATTTCCTGATAAAATTCCCTTTTGTTTTGAAAATTTGCTACGCTAACCTTAATTTTATTAACACTAATTGCTATCGCTTCTAAACTTAATAGTTCCCAAGAAACCATGTTGTTTTGTTCAGATAAAATGTACTTTCTTGAGTACACCTCGCGGCTCTCAAGCGTGGAGGAAAGTTTTGGCGCGGAAAGCGCAAATGCCACTGATTATTACAAAATAATTGCGGAGTTAGAAAAACACCGAGAATTGCTGAGAATTGAGATGGGAAGCTTCAAAGGTTTTCTCTCACATCTAAACTTTGCTTTCTTCGGCTTTAATCTGTCTCATTGACATGAACTTTCAATTAACATGGGATTCAAGAGTAAAAGTTTAAACTCGTCTTCAATCTATGCAATATTCATTTGAAACCCTAAATCTAGAATCTTGGAGTTCTAATCTATCCGGCCCCGAATCTGATATTTTTTTCAATTTTTTTGCCAAACATTTAAACTCTCAATTGTGCAAACATTTTGTATGCAATTTGCATAGATTTCTTCATGTTTGTTAATTGCATAGACTTTATTATGCACAAATGACTTTGTTATTTATTGACTTTCTAAGATGAAAGACTGATTTAAAATTGTCACTTGATTCTCAGGTTTCTTGGAATTTTCTTCAAGGGACTGTCAGCGTAATTTCAAGTGACCCTCCATGCAAAGATGGCTATGCATGATTCACAACGGTACACTTAAAGCTTTGACTGATAAGTATGAATTATATCTTAATGTTTATAATTTGAAAAAGTGACTAAATCCAATTGTGGTTCCTCTACAAAAGTTACTTCCGCATATCTACTCCAGGAAAACATTTAGGAATTATCAGAATTAAGATTTTTAAACCTAGAAAAACAACAATATCTCCAAAATTGTTGTTTAAATAAAAGTTTCTAGAGAACCGTCGCAATCTTTACACGGAGGATCACTTGAAAATACGTTTACAGTCCCTTTAAGGAATAGGACAATCTACACTGCTATCATTTTGTTCATAATGTTGAACAGACGCCTCTCGGAATTACGAACAATGTGTTTGGAATTACGAACAATGTGTTTGAAATTACAAACAGCGTGTTTGGAATTACGAACAGTGTGTTTCGGTATTATTATAACAAAATGGTTTCGGTATTATTATAACGAAATGGTTTCGGTATTATTATAACGAAATGGTTGTGGTATTATTATAACGAAATGGTTGCGGTATTATTATAACAAAATGGTTTCGGTATTATTATAACGAAATGGTTTCGGTATTATTCTAACAAAATGGTTTCGATATTATTATAACAAAATGGTTTCGATATTATTATAACGAAATGGTTTCGATATTATTATAACGAAATGGTTTCAGTATATATTATTATAACAAAATGGTTTCGATATTATTATAACAAAATGATTCGGTATTATTATAACAAAATGGTTTCGATATTATTATAACGAAATGGTTTCGATATTATTATGACGAAATGGTTTCAGTATTATTATAACGAAATGGTTTCGATATTATTATAACAAAATGGTTTCGGTATTATTATAACGAAATGGTTCCGATATTATTATAACGAAATGATTCGGTATTAGTATAACAAAATGGTTTCGGTATTATTATAACGAAATGGTTTCGGTATTATTATAACAAAATGTTTTTGGTATTATTATAACAAAATGGTTTCGGTATTATTATAACAAAATGGTTTCGGAATTATTATAACAAAATGGTTTCGGTATTATTATAACAAAATGGTTTTGGCATTATTATAAAAAAAATGGTTTCGGTATTATTATAACAAAATGGTTTCGGTATTATTATAACAAAATGGTTTCGGTATTATTATAACGAAATGGGTTCGGTATTATTATAACAAAATGGTTTTGATATTATTATAACAAAATGGTTTCGATATTATTATAACGAAATGGTTTCAGTATTATTATAACGATATGGTTTCGGTATTATTATAACGAAATGATTCGGTATTAGTATAACAAAATGGTTTCGGTATTATTATAACGAAATGGTTTCGGTATTATTATAACAAAATGGTTTTGGGCATTATTATAACAAAATGGTTTCGGTATTATTATTACAAAATGGTTTCGGTATTATTATAACAAAATGGTTGCGGTATTATTATAACAAAATGGTTTCGGTATTATTGAAACAAAAAATGCTATTTTATTGAACTGTCAATGTGAATGAGTTTTAAACATTTGTATGACCAATTTAGCATTATAAAATCAAGGCATTCAGGCACTTAGGCAATACGCATGCATGAATTTTTCTACATATACTAACTCTGATCTTTTCACAATTAAAATCTGTTGATCTAACAATTTTATAAGTACAACTTTAGTACCCTTTTTTATTTAATAATAAAAATCATTTTTTGTTCGACGTATTTCCTGGTCTTGCATGATTAGCTTGCAATTTTTATATGTTACTAACAAAACTTAATTTATCTATCTGAAGAAAAAGTAGGAAAAAGAAAAAAAAATTTTAATTTTTTTTTTCCAGATTGTTCCAGTTTAACTTCATGCGCGTCTGCCTGTCTGTCTTCCAGCAGTAGAATTATTCAAGGTTTTTATTCCTACACATTTTTAAAAAAAAAATTTGAGGTCCTCACTTTTGAATTCTAACGTAAGCGCTCAGCTGGTTCAAAAGAATTAAGTTTTTGGCCACAAACTCAAATTTTCTTATCCCTTTATTTTTGCATCATGATGGTGTAAACCTTTAATATTTCAAACTTTGATTATTTAATCTAACAAAAGTCATAGTTTGAAATATCTACGGATCTACGGCATTGGGTGCAAAAATATAGGGATTAGAAAATCAAAGTTTCTTGCAAAAACTCAATTTTTTCCTCTGGAAAATGTACATGTACGATTTTAGCGTTAAGAAAGGGATTAGGTCCATCCCTGAATCAAATCTTTTCATCAATCAGTTCTAGTTTTTGTAGATCAAATATGAATTAAAATTAAATTAAAAGTTAACGGGCAGGTTTGAGATTCAGATCAAAAATAGGAGCAAAGTGTAACAATAACATGCCATGAATCTGTCTGAGAAAAATTCAGAATTCTTGGATTTTCATTCTAAAGAATTAGAGATAATGCATAATTACAAATACATTTTCACTCAATATATCATTACAAATACATTTTCACTCAATATATCATTACAAATACATTTTCACTCAATATATCATTACAAATACATTTTCACTCAATATATCATTACAAATACATTTTCACTCAATATATCATTACAAATACATTTTCACTCAATATATCATTACAAATACATTTTCANGGGGGGGGGGGGCTGAGTCACATATATCCCCCCACCCCTCCCCCGAGTACGCAACCGAAACAATTTAATTTGCACCTAGGTCTGGTTGGAAGTATCCTACATGGACTGGATGAATGTGAACTCCTTGACTCTGGTATTGATGAAGATATTCTTGATGTTGAAGACCTTGAAGAAGATCCTCTTAATTTCTGCTCTTCCTGCACTAGATCATTACCCAGGGTATTCAACGCACATCCTTAAATTAATCATTAAATAATCTATATAATAAAACAAGACATTCATATATATGTAGCGTATAGCCGGCTGGACCGATTGGTCTAAAAAATTTTTGTGGACACTCATGGGTGGCCGGGGGTAGTTAAAGGCTAAAAATTGAAATTTTTATTTTTTAATAAAATTTCAAAAAAATTTTCAAATTTTTTTTCCACTGGCAACGCTAGTCAATTATAAAGGAACTGGAACACTGTACATATCGGAAGGTTTATTTTCAGAAATATTTTTTTGGATGAAAGGCGCCACCACGGCGCTACTTTTACACCACCTGGTGGCTAAAAATAGCAACTCATTATTACTTAATTTTGAATAAATTTATGCAATAATAAATATGTTTCAATAATTTATTCATAAATAAGGGTGTGTGATTCCGCTATTCGAGTAAACATAAAATATTCATTTTTTTTAACAGTACACTGAATAATACAATATTAATGATAATACTTTCAAAAACATTTTATAACTGCACAGTTTTTTAACAGTGACCCCACTTGCAAAGATGGTAGTGATCAATTCACAACGGTACCCTTGAATTGATTATCTGATCAATAATGTGGAAGATTTAAACGTTTAAAGGTTTAAACGTGGTTAATTCCTATATGTTTTCCTGCAGTAGAAATGCGCAAGTCACTTGTGAAGAAAAGCCACTATTTAAAATATACAGTTTTAAAAATTATAAACATTCATATCTAATTCCAACTCTATTGGGTTAAAAAGTACCATTGGGAATCAGGCATAATCAATTGTTTTAAATAAAATTTTCTTGAATGTTCTAAATTTCTTAAAAATGTATTAATTTTGATATCTTCCTCATTTAGGAGTTTGGAGAGAACCTGCATGATGTACAGCGAGGACTCCTCCATGTGCAGCAGCGTGTACAGTTTAGAAAGTACAAACTTGAGCGCAGAGCTAAACGGGGCATTCCTGCGCATGAGAAGGTATGTCAGAGCACAATCAATCAATCAATAAGTTATATTATATTACTCTGTCAAACGCCTTTAATAAGTCTAAAGCCACAATATTTTGCGATTTATCTTTCTTTCAAATCATCTATATATCTATCAATCTATCTATCTGTCTATCTACAGATTTATCAATTTTTCTACCTAAGTATATATCTATCTATCTATTTATCTATCTATCTATATCTATCTATCTATCTATCTATCTATCTATCTATCTAACTAACTATCTATCTATCTCCAGGATGTCTACCAACTAAGAGCAGAAGTAGAAGAATTGAAGGATAAGCTGAATACTAATTATATCCTGGTTGCTCAGCTTAGTGCAGAAAACCTTAGAATACAGGGTAAACATTTTATAGATCAAGGGATATATGGATCAAGGGATACATGGATCAAGGGATATATGGATCAAGGGATATATGGATCAAGGGATATATGGATCAAGGGGTATATAGATCAAGGGATATATGGATCAAGGGATATATGGATCAAGGGGTATATAGATCAAGGGATACATGGATCAAGGGATATATGGATCAAGGGATATATAAATCAAGGGGTATATGGATCAAGGGATATATGGATCAAGGGATATATGGATCAAGGGATGTATGGATCAAGGGATATATGGTTCAAGGGGTATATGGATCAAGGGATATATGGATCAAGGGACATATGGATCAAAGGATATATGGTTCAAGGGATAATTGGATCAAGGATAATGGGATAAACACATCGAGACCAAAACCACTCATAGACCGGAACTATCCAAAGGCCTGAAAGATCTAAGGGTGGAAATGATCAAGGGGGGAGGTGGGTGGGGGGGAAGACTCAAGACAAAACTGGGTGGATTTGATCTAAGGTTTAGTTAATCAATTGGTATAGATTATGAGTCGATCTAGAGGGTAAAAACAATACATTTTCAACAGATTTTATCTGTATAAAGTATATAGAACTAATCAATAGAAGGATTTGATTTAGGAACGGACCTTCTCAATACTTTTCTCAATATTAATATCGTACATGGCCTTCATAATCACAGAGAAAGAAATGAAGTTTAAGACAAAAATCTGATTTTCTAATTTCTATAGCTCTGCTGCTTTTCAAACTATGAATTCTGTAACTGTTAGATCAAATAATCTAAGCTTAAAATATGAAAGGTTTACAACACCAGGTTGCAAAGGGATAGGGATTAGAAAATTTGAGTTTGTGACAAAAAATCAATTAATTTTTGAGGGTCTAATTTTATTCCAGGAGAAAAGAACAGATTGGACGAGGCCGTTAAAGAGAGGATGGAGAGGATGAAAGATATGGAAGAGAGGACAGACGAAATGGAGGAGAAAATACTCAACCTTAACTCTTCCCTTGAAGATAAACAAAAAGAGGTTTGAATCTATATTTATAAAGTAGTAATCTCTGTTTGTTTGTATGTCTGATCATAACTCATGAACCCCTTGACCGATTTGCCTCAAATTTTTATTGGGGAACTCGGGAGTGTTCTTAGCTTTGTAAGATGTATGAAGTAGGTCGACTTTTATAGATAAAGCTTATATTCCAGGCAAAGCTGGGTTCTTGCATTTGTAATTAAATGAAGTAAGAAAAAGATTGATTTTTTTTACACAAAAGCAAAACTGTTCCAAATTCCTTGCAAAGTTTTAAATAATGTTTTCTGTCCAAAATAACAATTATCGCACATATGATAACTCCTTTCTTAAACCCCTGTACAGGGATAATCTAATCTTTGAGAGAAGCCCTTTACAACCAATATGATGGCGTTAATTAAATTTAATGTAAAGGGACTGTTGCCTAATTTAAAGTGATATTCCATGCAAGGATGGGAATTCCAGATTCACAGTGGTACCCTTTAAAGCTTTAACTGATTAATTATGAATTAGATATCCATGTTTAAATATTGAAAAGTATTATTTTAAATCATAGTTTCTATTGTAGGAAAGCATACTTGGTTTATTAAAAATTAAATACTTCTAAACCTTGGCAATTAACTTCCAAATTATTGATCAGATGAAAGTTTCAAGGTTTGTATAAAGTAACAGAAATGCAAAAAACTATGGAAGTTATTCATCAAATATTAAGACCGCGTCAATTTTGAAATGTCCCTGAATTTTACTTCACAAACTCATCTAAATTTTGTTACTAACAAGTTTATTTTCTAGATTGAAGGTTGGAGAAGAAAAGGAGATGAGCTTGACACGGCTCGGAGAGAACTGGAGGCGGCTCGGAGGGAACTCAAGATACTGGAGGAACAGGTTCAACAGCTCAAGACAGAGGTATTAATCAATCAATCAACCAATAAATTAAATTGAATAATGTTTAAATGTCGTCTTCCTATTTCACAGTTTTATGGGTTTCACTATATCGTGTATAGATTGAGAAGAATGATTACCGTGAGACAGTATTTGAGAAATCATCTCCAGAAACCAGCAGTAGTTTCGATTATATGAACTGCGGTACAAATACAGGTATTTTTCTAGGATTTGCAGTACAACACTGTGTCACATTATACTGTACACTATGCACTTTACAGTGTACACTGTACAGTTTATAGTGAAGTTGGAATGATGATACTTTCATATTTATTCGTTTTAAAGATAATTTTTCTTATTATCTTATTTGAATGATTTCTCCTTTTAATGTCGTCTTCTTTAATTAAAATTTTTTTTTTGAAATATCATAATTTCCTAATAATATTTGTCAAGGAGAAGTGGGTTCCCGTCCAAGAGCGTTCTCATCTTGTACAAGAAGCTTTCCGGTCAATCTTGGCAGAGATAAGGTAGACAAATATCTCTAATAGTTGGTGAATATAATACCTTTACTCTAGTTGGTGAATATAATCCCTTTAATCTAGTTGGTGAATATAATCCCTTTACTCTAGTTGGTGAATATAATCCCTTTACTCTAGTTGGTGAATATAATCCCTTTACTCTAGTTGGTGAATATATCTATTTAAAGGGACTGTAAGCCTATTTTCAAGTGACACCTACCTTCCTGCAAAAAGGGCTGTGCCTTATTCACAACGGGATCCTTTGAACCTTTGACTGATAATCCTGAAAAATTAAGAATATTCGACGCGGTTTTTTCTCGCATCAGAAGATAAATCAGGAAAAGTTTGTCATCAACAGTCAAAGGTTTCAAGGGTACCATTGTGACTCGGATATACCCCTCTTTAAATGGAAGGTAACTTATGCTTACAATCCCCTTAATTACAATCCCTTTAATTACAATCCCTTTAATCTAGTTGGTAGATGTCTCCTCCCCTGATCTGGGAGTAGATGTAGAGTCAGATCCATTTTCAAGTCTAGAGAGAGGATACAAAGGTATAATGTTTTACAGTCGTCTTCATATATATGAATACAATGAAGACGACTTTAGATTTCAATTTTTGAATTATACCAAGCTTTCAAACAACATGGATACACAGCAAATAGCCTCTGCTTGTTTACTTGTAAACTTGTAAAGGGACAAAATCTCGTTAGAAATCATAACATAAATAAAAACGTCGTCTTCATTGTATTGATATAAACCAGTTTTTTTAAATATATGAAACTTTGAATTGAAATACAGCCTTTCGGTTTTAAAATATGTACAGTGATAACCAGAAAACTCTGGAATATGAATACTACTTTTAGACTCAAGTTAAGATTTTAAATAAGCATGGAGCACAGCAGTTTTCCAAAGTAAACTGACCCATTTCACTTAATTTGTCATTTAATATGTGTTTATTAAAACTACTGGCTGTTTATCAACATCAAATACGTTTAAGTATTTGTCTAAAGTCGTCTTCCTATCCCAGAGTTTTCTGGTTTTCAGTGTATTATTTTTTTAAGTGAAATGCCGTTTTTTTCAAATAAAACATTGTTTTTGTAATCAAAGTATTGTTATTACAAAATAAAATGTCGTCTTCCGAATATTTGAACTATTTATCTTTTAGAAGATTTCTGCCAAGGCAGTGAATATTGGCTTTAATTGGGTAAACTTATGGCTTGATAAATACTTTACTGCTTTTTTCTGTGCTTAATATGTGTAATAAATATTATCAAAATCACATTGGACCCCTAAATACTGTTTATGCCCCTGATCCTGACTTATAGTCCAATTTTTTTAAAAATATAAGTTTCTGTATTAAACATTTTTTTTATTTAGTTGGATCGCTAGCTGTTGATAAACTTATACTAGAAAACAGAAATCTCAGGTGGGATATTCTTTATTCATTCATTATCTTATTCATTAATTCAGTTATTCATTTATTCATTTATTCATTTTTCATTTATTCATTTATTCATTTATTCATTTATTCATTTTTCATTTATTCATTTATTCATTTATTCATTTATTCATTTATTCATTTATTCATTTATTCATTTATTCATTTATTCATTTATTCATTTATTCATTTATTTCATTTATTCATTTATTCATTTTTTCATTTATTCATTTATTCATTTATTCATTTATTCATTTTTTCATTTATTCATTTATTCATTTATTCATTTATTCATTTATTTATTTATTCATTCTTTCATTTATTCATTTATTCATTTATTCATTTATTCATTTATTTATTTATTCATCTATTCATTTGTTCATTTATACATTTACTTATTTTTTTATTCATTTATTCATTTGTTCATTTATTCATTTACTTATTTATTTATTTATTTATTCATTTATTCATTTATTCATTTATTCATTTATTCATTTATTCATTTATTCATTCTTTTCTTTGCTTTTGTCATTATACTATACATAATTTGTTTCTCATTCTATTTTACGGAAACGATCAAAAAATATTTAAATTAGGCGGGAAAAAGACGTGCTGGGACAAAAGTTGGTGCGCAGTAAAGCCGCGCTTCAAGATACTCTTAGCAGACTTTCTCGCGCAAATCTTCACAAACAGGTTTAAACCGGTTTTTACTGAAGCAAAGGAAATGAGATTTTGCCACAATCACTGATTTTGTAATCCCTATATCTTTGCAACCACAAGAGTTAGATTTTAGATATTATGAAATCTGTCACAGTCGTCGTCGTATATATTAATACAATGTAGACGACTTTCTATTTCAATTTTAATTTCTTCCAAGCTTATAAGAGGAAGAGACGCTTAAATATGTAATCAAAGAGCAGTTAATATACTTTGAATCATATGAATTAAATTTGAAAAAATGCATCAAGGCAGCAAGGCATTTACAATAAAAAGTCGTATTCATTGCATTGATATAATCGTCGACCACTGTAGACCAAATAATTTAAGTTTGTAACATTCAAGGTTTCCACAATCAGGTTGCAAAGATATAGGGATTAGAAAATTCGAGTTTGTGGCAAAGACTCAATTCCTTTGAGCACATTTTTCAAGAAACCTGAATTTTTCCACCAAAGAATTATTTAAAAGAATTATGTATGTTAAATGTCCAAACAGACCTTCAAATTAAAATTGGTCATTTTAATTTTTTAAATTGAAATATTTAGGATCAAGTTGTGTCTCCGGCTCCTGTAAGACGACCTTTATCTAGAGTTCCATCAGAAAGGTAAAACATTTATTAGTAAGAAACATAAAGCTACAGTGATAACCAGAAACATAAAGCTACAGTGATAACCAGAAAACTCTTGAATAGGAAGACGACTTTATGGCAATATTCAAGTATTTGATGTTTTTACAAAGCAAATTATAGTTTTAATTAACAATTATTAATCCACTAAATAAGTGCAATGGATTTACAGTATACACAAGTGCTCTATCACATGCTTAATGGACTATTTAAAGTCATAACTTGAGCCTAAAAGGCGTCTTCCTATTGTAGAGTTCTCTGTTTGTCACTATATATAAGACTCAAGTTATGATCTTAAACAGTCAAATTAACATGAAGAACAGCTACTATGCAGTGTACACAGGAAGGTCATAAGCCAAGATGGGGTTAAACATCGAAGAGTTATGTACGTCAAAAATATTTTTTTTTCTAACAAATCTCGTTTTTTTAGAGGAAACCTTTTATCTGATTCTCCGCCCTCGCTGTGGAGCTGGTCCCATGAATCGCCTGGTTTAAGGCGGAGAAACCCGGAATCTCCGCCTCCACTACCCAGGCAGTTATCATAGCTAGTCTTCTCTTAAAATTTATCCTTTAACAACGTGTTAAAGGAACTGTTGTAAATTCATAAGATTAGCTTTCAAACCTAAATGCATGTCATAAAGAAACTTTAATTGGATATAATCAATTTTAACATGAACAAATAGATATATATCATTCACCTTGATCAGAGAAAGGTATTCAAGGGTACCATTGTGAATCAGAGGGATCACTTACAATTGAGTCACCAGATCTTTTGATTCCAAGGATTGCAACAAATTATTAAATTCCAGTTTTTGAATTTTTTATTCATTTTGATCTAATTGAGCATTATTTTATAGCTATGACAAAGTTTTTTCAGAGTTCCTGATCTGAACTTTAAACTGAGAAAAAATAAATCCAGTAGACACTGATTGAGTTGGTTGGTGAACATCAACCTTGCAGTACATATTTAGTGTACATAACTAAGTGAGAACTGTACATAAACAGACGCTAAACAGTGAGACTAAGATGGTAACCTAGATGTGTCAAAAATCATGATATTTTAAGCAAACCTCTCAGCAAAATAAAACAAAAAAGTGTGAGCATTAAACTTTATAAAATTTTAAATTAAAAATCTCATATTTTGGTAATTCTTACTTTCTGCTGTAAACTTATGTAAATGCATTACATATCTAAAATTATCCTAAACTAGCTCCAAAGATGAAATAAATCGCATGTACCAAATGAGCTGGTTTTAAATAAAAAATGTGCCAAACTGAAAATGTGCCAATTGTGGTAAAAAATGTGCCAATAATTAAAGAAAAACAACTTCCTAAACAAAGGAATTAAAAAGTGTCCTTTTAATTGACTAAAAACTACTGAAAGTCAGACTTAATCTGTTGAACTTTAATCCGTTGACTTTAAAACTACTGAAAGTCATATTTAATCTGTTGAACTTTAATCCGTTAATTTAAAAATTACTGAGAGTCAGACTTAATCTGTTGAGCTTTAATCCGTTAACTTTAAAACTACTGAAAGTCAGACTTAATCTGTTGAGCTTTAATTCGTTAACTTTAAAACTACTGAAAGTCAGATTTAATCTGTTGAGCTTTAATTTGTTGACTTAAAGAAAACGATGTTATAAAGAAATTGAGCCTTTGACACAAACTCTGTTTTTCTAATCCTTTTATCTTTGCAAAGAAATATAGTTTTTGCAAAAAAAATTCAAATTTGTAACCCCTATATCTTTGCAACCCGATGTTATAGACCTTTCTTATTTCAAACTATGAATTCTGATAGATCAAATAATATTAGTTTAAAATTACAAAGTTTTACATTATTAGTTTGGAAAAATGTATGGCTTAAAACATTACTCTTTGGCAAAAACTCATTTCCTTTGCATGCCAATGTCGTAGACCTTAGATATATAATGATCAATCATCAGGTTGCAAAACTATATGGATTAGAACATTAAAATTTGTGGCAAAAAAAATTGTGTGCTAAAATTACCTCATGATGATTCGGAGAGAAACTTTTGAATTTAAATATTTTTTGTTTTGTTGAAAAATATTTTTTGCATATTTTCATGTTATTTTGTTGTTTGTGCCCTTGACCTGAATCCATAGAGAATAGAATATATAGAGAGGAATTAACTAGAAAAAAGTGTAAAACGGCCATTTTGTTGTACTGTTTCCATACTGCAGGTGTACTTCACATATTTATGCTATATAACCTGTTGGGCCCTGAAGTATCATTTTACAGAAAATCTAAAATTATTGTTAAAAGAAAACCAAATTTTGAAATAGGCTGGTTTCATAATTGACCAATGATCATTTCACATAGACTCTATGCCTTCCACTTTACAAACGATGATTTTCCGTTATAACTATGAATCAAATGATGTTTTTATTCACCTAATTCCTTATAAAGTTTATTTAACAGTTTAAAAAATTCGAAATTAAAATGGATAGTCTAGGGAATATAATGTATTAATGTACTCTACTTCATATAATTTGTGAAAATTTACATGACTTGTACACTTTGAACTCCCTTTCAGGCTGAAAGGGACTGAAAAAAATTCATACCGAGAGATTCTTTTAATTCCTCTCTATATATTCTATTCTCTATGCCTGTATCTCTGTGATAAATATGTTGATATTAGTTTAAATATTTTATTACAAATATACAAAACTTTCTGAACATTTGTTTTACATTTAATACGATACAACCAATAATTGAAAATTTAAAATATTTTTTAACCTGATCAATATCTGCTCCCTCATCCAACCAAAGAACAGGAAAAGCTGGGACAGGAATTATATTTTCCAGGAAAATAATATTAGGAATTCCTGTAGGAGTAATAGGCATATTCACCTACAACAATTTTAAAAACTTAAAATAGAAATTATTCATTTTAAATTTAAAATAAATTTAGTTTTTGCTACAAACTCTATCTAATACCTCATACCGCCAAAAAAGCTCTAAATTTTAGTACTAAAAAAGTCCTTGAAATAAAAAATCTCTGGAAATGAAGTCCAACCATTTTAAGACTGAATTTTCTAAGATTTTTTGTCTGGTTCCAGTATGATTTATACAAAAAAAAATCCCCCGATAAAAAATTCTTCTTATAGTGGAAAATATATGGGAACAAATAAGGATGTTTACATGCATGAGAATAACGGGGCTTGATACTAAAAACACCCCTGGCTATATTCAATATGCGGATTGAGATAAAAGTCCTTTTCAGTGACATTTTGGACGAGCACTTCAGAAAACTGGGATTTTTTACAGAAGTTTTAATTTCAAGGTTTTTTCCAGAAATTTTTTTCCTGTAACTTTCTTTCATAGATTCTATCTCATCATTACACAATTAAAATTGCATGATCCGAGCCGGAACAAAATTAAAAACGACCTACTTTCGTTAACAAAACGACTAACTTTTTCAAAAAAGATCTTTTTTCAAATCAGTGAAAACGATCCATCCCTATCTATGCGCACTACTTCAAAGATTCTTTTATGTGACCTGAATTCTCTTATGTGCGCTAACGGTCATCCCAGTAATAGGTTCTATGTCCAGGATGGTCATGTGCAGGTCAGCATCAGGGGTCAATCCAGATTCTAGATTATTTTTTATTTTATTTTTCCACGGGCCCTTCAGCTAGTAATCAATGATATTATTTGTACGTCCGTATCACGTGACTAGAACTCCCACCAATGGCAGTACAGTATACTGGTCACGTGATACAGACGGAGACATGTGACAATAATCTCACCAAAGTTTTCAAGCTGTGCTTCAGCTAAGTAGAAGTGAGGAGAGCTCATTTTAACAGGGGACATCATGCACTGAACAGAACAACATGATTTGGGTGATAACGAATTGAGTCTCTGATGTCACAAACTCAAAATGTCTAATCCCTGTATCGTTGCAACCTAATGGTGTAAACTTAGATTATGTGATCAATAGAATTCTTAAATTGAAAATATCTAAGGTCTACGACATTGGGTTACAAAGGTATAAGGATTAGAAAATTAGACTAGCAAAGACTCAATTAGTTCAAATCCGGAATCGCCTATTCAAATTTTCAAAAATCGTTAATTTTGAATTGGTGGTTCAGGTTTTGAACCAGCGGTGTAGGTAGTTCAACGACCTCTCTCCAATTCATTAAATGCGGTCTCAGTTACAAAAGAACTAAGTACAGAATAAAAGTCAGAAAAAGTCAAAGTGATGATGCCAAACAGGGGCGCACACTAAGGAGGGGGGGGGGGCTATGCCCCCCTTTGAGAAGGAAAAACTATGATTTCAAGCAGGGAATTAGCCCTTTCCCCTTGGAGTGTCAAAAAAGGTCCAGGGAGGACAAATTCATATAAAAACATATTGTCAATCATCAAAATAATTCAGAGCAATTGATCCAGCTATGCATCCAATTTTGTAAAACTTTTGCTACACAGGGTTATTCACAAAGGATGAGACTTCAGAGACGACTTTCTGTATGCTTATATTTCTAGTTCTCTACAAATACAATTGTAAACTTGTTTCTTTCTTTGATAAATCACTAAATAAACAAATAAAAGATAAAATTTGTTTAGGCAGAAATTTAATTTTTCCACTGAATCATCATATTATTTGATTTTCAGGTCGTCTTTACAGTCTCATCCTTTGTGGGTAACCCTTTTATTCAAAACAAACTTACGTTGGAAATATCTTGTACTCCATCATGACAGGTTGTAATCTGGCATTCTAAACAATATCAAAACATAAGATGTAAAAATCTAAACAATATCAAAACATAAGATGCAAAAATCTAAACAATATCAAAACATTTTTAATATCAAGTACAGACACGATGACTTGCTTGAAATAAACAAAAAAAATCTGTAAAATTAGTTTTCTAGAACAAAATAATTCATTGGAAATTTTTAAATTTATTGATTTGGATTTAGTCAAATGAACATGAATAAAACTGTCACATTTTAATTTGATTTTCAAGCAATACAACTAGTTGCTTTAAAGTAACAGAAGATTTAAATAAGATTACGTGAAAGTAGTCTATTTCACAGTTTTACAGGTCCCCCTGTACTTTTGAAAACAGGTTGTCACACAGCACTTTTGCTTCAGACTTTGCTTGTCTCTGTCTGTTTGCCTGTATCCAATAAACGTCAAAACGGCTGAACCAATCGGACTCAAAAAATGTCGACAATTATCCCTTTTAAAAATAAACCCATTTAAACAGATTATACGTGTAAAATATTGAGTTTTATTGTTTTTAAAATAAAAAATGGTCTCACTTAAAGAGCAACATTATAACCCTTAATTTATTAATAAAAATGGGACGCTAAGCGCATTTTTATTTCTAACCTTTGATGTCCAGAACATTTGGATCCTCTGTTCTCTTAATACAGGGATCATCCCATCTAAAAATAGAATACAGGGATAATCCCATCTAAAAATAGAATACAGGGATAATCCCATCTAATAATAGAATACAGGGATAATCCCATCTAAAAATAGAATACAGGGATAATCCCATCTAAAAATNTTTTATAGCTTAATGATTTGGCAAAAAGAGCACCAAGTTTAAACCATGAAGGTTAGGAAATAGGCAGTATGTAACGTCTCTGAAATCTCATTTTTTGTGGTAACCCAATACATGCATGAGATTAATTATGCGATCTTTAAAACTTTTTATAAATAAACTAAACTATCCTTGTGGTAGAGTGTATCTTAGTGTACGAATTCCATCTATATCGTGGTCCTCTGCATTACAGAATAGAATATTGTAAACAATGCAGTACAGTACAGAATAGAATACGGTAAACACTGCAGTAAAGTACAGAATAGAATAGTGTAAACAATGCAGTACAGTACAGAATAGAATACGGTAAAATAGAATATTAAAAAGAATGCAGTAAAATACAGAAAAGATTATTGTAAACATTGCAGTAAAGTACAGAATAGAATAGTGTAAACAATGCAGTACAGTACAGAATAATATTAGGTAAACATTGCAGTAAAGTACAGAATATGATATTGTAAACATTGATGTACAGTGCAGAATAAGAATTTTGTAAACAATGCAGTGCAGTACAGAATAGAATATGGTAGAAATTGCAATACAGTACAGAATATGATATTGTAAACATTGCAGAATAGAATATTATAAAAATTGCAGTACATTATAAAATAGAATATTAAAAAGAATGCAGTAAAATACAGAAAAGATTATTGTAAACAATTCAGTACAGTACAGAATAGATTATTGTAAATAATTTAGTACAGTACAGAATAGATTATTATAAACAATTCAGTACAGTACAAAATAGAATATTGTAAACAATGCAGTACAGTACAGAATAGAATACAGTAAAAATAGCAGTACAGTACAGAATAGGATATTGTAAACACTGCAGCAAAGTACAGAGGAAGAAAATGGGAAAAACTTTAAAAGTCTAAACCCATTTATAAGATAAATCCACTTTTCGATGTAATCCTATTCTCAGAGAATAAAGTTCAAATTTCAAGCCTTGTCTGTTAAGCCGAATCCTATAATCTGCCTAGATATTTTAAGCTCATGGATCGACAAAGATCGGTAGAAAAGATCCAAAGAGGTTCATCTCGTCTATCATCAAGGAACGGAGGGAACTGTTCACCATTTGTTCCTCTAAAATGTGCAGTCGTCGTCAAATATATCAATATATTGGAAATAACTTTCGATTTAAATTTTTTTATATCATATCATGGTTTCCAACCTTATGGATACACAATAACATGGATACAAAGAGAAGCTGTCAATTAACAGGATATTCTTTTTGTTGACTTGTAATTAGAAAAAATGCTTTTTAGAAATCAAAACTTGAATGAAAGTCGTCTTCACTGTATTGCTATAAACGCCACTGTAACATATTTAATTTGTTTGTTTGGGTGTTTAATTGTTTGTATACAAAAAAACGTCAAAAAGGGTAAACTGGTCGGGCCGGATAAAAACGGCTGAAGAAAATGGGCCCAAATTTTGTGTGGGACATTACGTGATCCAAGGATAGGTTTTTGGACAATCAAAATTGAAAAAATACTTTTTTTAATTTGCCAATTTGAATACAAAAATTCGTCAAAATCTGAGAACAATTAAAAATGGCCGACTTTCAAAACAATAGTTAAACCCTAAAATTATTTACAGAACAGTAAGTACCCTTAAACCCTAGTGTGATAGAAGCAAAGAGAATAGAATGAATAAAGCTTTAAATCTAAACAATCCCTCGGTATGAATTTGTCAGTCCCTTTCATTCTGAAAGGGAGTTCAAAGTGTACAATTAATGTAAATGTTCACGCAGTACATCGCACTGATAGATACAGTATGATCCCTGGACATCAATTCCAACTTTTTTGTTTTATAAAGTTGTTAAATAACTTTAAATGTGTGTATTTGCTATGGGTGAATTAAAATCATTATTTTATTAAACATTAAAATGTAAAAATCGTCGTTTGTAAAGTGAATACCTACAATTATAGGAATATGTTTTTTTTAATGAAAAAAAAACTTATTAGATTGATTTCAATCGACGTGTGCATGAAAGGTTGTCAGAGAAAAAGGATTTAGAAAACGAAATAATTATTAAAAACTCTTTTTCTAGGAAAATATGTTCCAGGGCCCAAAAGATTAAAGAGCGCAAATATGTGAAGTACACTCGCAGTATGGAAACAGTACAACAAAATGGCCGTTTTATACTTTTTTAGAGTAAATTCCTCTCTATTATATATTCTATTCTCTTTGGATAGAAGTACTCAACTCTAATAAAAACATATATTCTATGCAGCTCACAAAGACTATTTTTTCACTTTTTTTAACCCCCTCTTACCCCCTTTTAAATTGTTTTAAAACCAACCTGAGAAGGTTGCAAGTAGTGTTAACTCTCTCATTTCCTGAAATACAAATATTATATTCTTAAAGGGACTGACCGGCTGTGTAAAGGGACTGGCCGGCATTGTAAAGGGATTAAGGCTCAAAGGAAGTGTTCGCGAAAATGAGAAGGGGGTTTGCATGGGTTTTATACTCTTCTTAGTATGAGTCGTTTTGAACCATTTTCTCCATAAAGATAGTAGACAAACTAGAAGTGATCGATATCGAATTCAATTCGGAATCAGCCTAAACCCCCTTTCATTTTTCGCAAACACTCCCTTTAAATATATCGATCATGCTATCTGTAACTGGAGAGTCACATAACATATCATCAACAGTCTCCTTAAATATTTTTCCTTATATATTTACCTTCTATATCTTTATAAGGCCACCAGTAAGGAAAGTTTTTGGTACTTCTGCAGGAGAATACTTCTCCAGCAATCACAGAAGGACAAGTCCCTGAGTTATTAATTTCATTAATCCAAAATTAAGTTTTTAACTGAATTTGAAACGAAAGTACTGCACGTGAAGATGTTTATACTTTTGTCGGAGGGAGGGTGGGGGGAGTGAAAATAGAGGAGCAAGTGCTACAGCAAGGACCGGATATAGGACCGAGCAATGCGGCTAGGATAGGATCGAGGAGCAAGTGCTACGGCAATGACCGGATATAGGACCAAGCAATGCGGCTAGGATATGAAATGGGATCTAGCGCTACAGCAAGGACAGGATATTATAGGACCGAGCAATGCGGCTAGGATATGACATGGGACCTAGCGCTACAGCAAGGACAGGATATAGGACCAAACAATGTGGCTAGGACAGGCTAGAGGATATAGCAGTGTGGATAGGAAAGGGAAGAGGACAGAGCACTTCGGCTAGGACATGGCATTGGACTGAGGGCTGCCCCTAAACCAAGCTAGGGAACAGACCCCTGCGGGTGTCACTATATATAAATTCTATAAAAAAATTGAAATCCTAAGTTTTGTCAAACTAAAACGGTAGGAAAACAGTTACTAAAAATAAGCTTTGCAGATTAGCAGAAAATAAAAATGTCGTCTTACTCGCTTCGGATAGATCGGGGTTAAGGTCGTCTTCAGCAAGTGTTGGTCCCCAAAGATTTATCTCTGTATGTCTAAAATAAATATTTATGATTTTAAACGATTTTTATCCAAAATTTTTTTATTAAATCGATAGTCATACCACTCAAATTGAGAGTCACGTGACCAATCTCTTTAAATATTTAATTTTTACCTTTCCACTCCTACATCAACCTCGTAGCATTCATTATGGGTTGTAGCATTCTGTTCATTAAATATTTTCAAAACATTTCCAAAACAAAGCAAAAACTTTGTGTAATAGTTTCAGTATATTTCAGTTTATTTTTCAGTTCTTCTACGGTGGTAGGCGATTATATCAATATATTGAAGACGACTTTTTTCTTTAAGTTTTAATTGTTTACACGCTTTTTTCAAATTAATAGTTTACAAGTAATTTAAGAAAAGCTTTTATAATAAACAGCTTCTCTTTGTCTCCATGTTTGTGTGTATCCATGCTGTTTAAAAGCTTTATCTAAAAATTAAAATTAAAATCAAAATTCGTCTTCATTTTATTGATTTAATCGCCTACCACCGTATATATGTAAATTCTTTGCTTGCTGGGATGTCCATCTGTCAATATCTAATAAACGTCTAAACCACGCACCCCTGACCCTTCAGTAAAAGTAAATTCAACCTAAAGTCTGACCGCATCAACCTTAATAGTACATAGCTAGGAGGTCAATCAGGTAGATAGTACATAGCTAGGAGGTCAATCAGGTAGATAGTGCATAGCTAGGAGGTCTATCAGGAAAGCAGTTCATAGCAAGGGGTTCAATTAGGTAGTTTATAGCTAATCATGGTCATCAGGTCGAAAGTTAATGGCTGGGAGGTTAATCAGGAAGTATTTTATAGGTAGGTCTATCAGGTAGATATTTCAGAGCTATGGGGTCCATCAGGTAGATATTTCAAAGCTAAGGGGTCCATCAGGTAGATATTTCAGAGGTAAGGGGTCCATCAGGTAGATATTTCAAAGCTAAGGGGTCCATCAGGTAGATATTTCAAAGCTAAGGGGTCCATCAGGTAGATATTTCAGAGGTAAGGGGTCCATCAGGTAGCAGTTCATAACTAAGGGTCAAGGAGGTGCCTAATTATTACAAAACTTCTACATGTGCAAGGAGTAGTAAAAATATCTGTGTTTTTAATTTTATTAAAAGACGACATTTGAGACGTAAAATTGTTTTCATATTTTTCCTCAAGTTCCACACTACCAGGCCCTGGGCTAACTGCTGCATAATTCGAAACAATACAATAATTCTAAGGCTCATCCCACTCTGAAAGTTACAGAATCCGAGCCGGTACAAAATGTACTTCATATACACTCACTTTTACTGGCCTGTCATAGTGGGCTACTCAGTTTTTAGTTAACCTGGCACGTTGTATGCACAAAATGTAGGCTGGCAAGATGAAAATGGGCTACTCAGTTTTTAGTTACCTGGCACGTTTTATGCACAAAATGTAAGCTGGCAATATGAAAATGGGCTACTTAGTTTTTAGTTACCTGGCACGTTTTATGCACAAAATGTAGGCTGGTAAGATGAAAAAATAGTTTTTAGTTAACCTGTCACGGCTTATGCATAAAATGTAGGCTGGCAAGATCACAGTAGGTTTCTCAGTTTTTAGTTGATCCAGCACGTTTTATGCACAAAATGTAGGCTGGCCGCCGTAGGGCTGGGCAAAGTTCCGTTAACGAAACGGAGGTTTTCGAAAATTAACGGAAGAGTCCATTAACGAACAGCGAAACCTGTTAATTTTTTAAACCGTTAAAGAAACGGATTGGCCATTTTTGAAAAAAATAACGGTTAAAACGCCGTTAATCTTGTAATAACGGTACCATTAATGGCTAGAGCCGTTAACGATTGTTGACAATTTTCCGTTATCGCCGTTAGTAAAATTGAGATCGTTAACTAACAGTAATCTAAAATAACGGAAAATGGCGTTAACGGACCAAACATTCCGTTCTTACCTTTAAAATTAACGGTTAACTGTTAACTGAAATTTTTATTTTTTAACAGTTGGAACTAATCGTTAACAAAACGACTAGAAAAAGTTGGAACGTGGCCAGCCCTAGGCTGACGTACTGTACCTTGGAACAGAATATTATCCACAGTATCTTCTAGAAATAAATCTTTGGAATCAGGTGAGTTATCAATTGCTTTCCCCAAAATGGTGAGTACAGGTTCCTAGTTTTAAAGGGATAGTTAGCTTAATTTTAAGTGACCCTGCATGGAAAGGTAGCAATACCTGATTTACAATGGTACCCTTGAAACCTGAATCTGATCAAAGTGTGGAAACTAACCTTTTTTTCTAAATTGAAACGTTTTTATTTCTGTTAATTTCTTAATTGTTTCTTATAAGCAAGAAATGCCCAAGTCTCAAACCAAAAAAAGAAAATAAACAATTTAAATAAACAAAAACGTATTTACTTCATACTCGATCAGACAAAGCTTTTGAGGTATCGTTGTAAATCATCCATTGTTGCACATGGAGGGTCACTTGAAATTAGGCTTACTGTCCCTTTAAATGGAAAAATCATTTTATCAGGTTTTAACTTAATTATATGATAAAATATTATTATTATTATTATTATTAATATTGAAATTATTTACAACAACTTTACAGGGAAGTTAAAAGTAGTAGTACTCAATTTTATTTTCTTTTGAGACACTGCATTCCCTAAAAACTTCGCAGAGCGGTATAGTTATTTTACATAACTGTCCCAGGGGANTGTTTGTATACTGTAATTTTCTTGTTTTACTAAGTACAACCGTATGCAGTCAAAACATAAACAAACAAAATGTGAACATAGCAGACGAAACTCTTACAGATTACAGCTTTCTCAGTAGGTATCACTAAACTAAATCAAAGAATTATTTGAAAAGACGATATCGAATTCGTCACTGAATTCCTATGTTTATTGGGACACCCTGTAGCTTAATTAATATAATAGATAGGACACTAGATGTCGTCTTTTCAAGATTTCTGTGTGTTTTTTTTCACAATAATACTGAGACATAAGCCCAAAGAAGTTACTTCTGCCTTGGTATTTTTGTGAATGAAAGACACAGAAATCTTGAAAAGACGATATCTAGTGTCCTATCTGTTATATTAATTAATATATGATGTCTATATAGTTCCTAAAAAATTGGCAGACCGCAATCTTAATTTAATTTTTTCAGACTTAAATAAATGTTGGATAATACAGTGGTAGGCCATTATATCAATACAATGAAGACGAGTTTAGATTTCAATTTTGATTTATATCAAACCTTTAAACAGCATGGATACACATAAAGATAAAAACAAAGAGAAAAAGAAAAGGATAAAAAAGATAAATAAGCATCTTTTAAATCAATTTTAAAAAGCTTACAAGTAATCAATACTTTAAAAAATTTGTCCTCATTATATTGATAAAATCACGTACCACTGTACTTTCTCGTTAAAATTTACTTTCTAGAAATGTTGTTCTCAATAAAAAATGATTTATGATTAAAAACTATTAATAATCGTCAAAACATTAATGACAATAAAACTTTAAATTTGGTGTAAATGATGGCTTAAACCACAATGGAATATAGGAGTAAATAAAGTTATTTCTACATTTTGGTCAGGGTCTACCCTCTTCAGTTCTATTCTAATGATATAGCCATCAAAATCTAAAGTTTTAAAAAACTAAATTTTCTTTTTTTAAATTAAACTTTCTCATTGCGGCTGCTACTGCTCCAATCAAAGGCATGTTTAAAATCTTCACTATATCATCTTTGCTGCAGTCTAAATAATAAAAAAAATTTATTTAGAGAATCTTTTTCATGTTAACTTTAATTAAATTATTTACCTTTACAAGACTGCTCTTTGTCAAACTCAAAATGCCTGAAATTTCAATTTGTTGATGAATAAAGTTTCAAAGAACATATTTATTCTTTTTAATACGGCTAGCTGTCATTAAAACAGCTGATGGATTAGAAGTTAAAAATAATGTCTGGACTCTTAAGCTTATGTTCAATTGGAAAAACCAACACAAAAATTATTGCATGAATTATGGTATCATAGAAACCCCCCCTCCCCTAAATATGTAGCTTTTCTTTGTAATTTTATCAAGCATAAGAAAAGTTAAAAAATAAAATATTTTACTTCTTTATCAGTAGATATGAGAGGAAAAACAAATAAAAACGATAACAAAATGTTATTATAGCTATTGATGTTATTGCAGTGTGTGTATTATTAATAGCAAAAAAATATTTTGCCCGGATTTTCACTTTTTCTACTTGTTTGAGATCAAAATGAAAAATTTTCACACCCAACGTAGGGAGATAAAGTAGCTTTATCGCCCTACAACGGGAAATATTAGGTGTGAAATTTAAGATTTCAATATGAACGAGAAATTTTAGGGTTTGGTAAATTCTTTCGAAATTGTATAAAAAGATGATTAAAAAGTCAACTTATTACCTATATTGTTCAAATTGCAAACTTTCTTGGTCATTTGTCCATCTCAAGTTTATCTTCTCCTTCACCTCCTGATGAGGAACATTTTTTTTAAAAAAAAAACTGGTTTTTGATTTTTCTCAACTATATCCAAGAAAGAACGGTTTAAGAAGAAAATCAAAGTGTGTCCATTGGATACTAAGATTAAGTAATCGAGATTAAGGATATCTCATTCTAAAGTTTTCAGCTCTGGTTTCAGGCAGTTTTGTAGATAACCAGAAATCTAGAATAGTTAACTTTAAAAGCCCAATGAGTATGAGATGAGTCAATAAGTTTCTAGTAAAACTATTTGACTTTTAACAACATAAAATACATTGCTATAATGTATGGAGTATGGACCCCAAAAAGGAAACTCGGATGTACGTTTTGTTCAACAATATTCTCTTAAATTTCTGTACTCATTGTAAATTCTGATTCATTCATGTACCGAGCCGACTTATAAGCTGCAAGAACAAGCATACATATATAGATTATACCGGGACAGTACATCAAATGTTCCTTCTATCTACATATGTACTGTTTGGTTTTTCTAATTTTTCATCTGGATGAAAAATGTTTCTCAGATTTTTTTGAGTTCTCGTGAGTTACCAAAAATCAAAAATGTTAAAACATATTTGCAATAATACCATTTACAGTGGCCGGCGATTATATCAATACAATGAAGATCATTTTTTATAAATAATGCTTTGATCCCAAACAAGCATTTTTTAAATTTCAAGTTTACGCGTGCATTAAAAGAAGCTGGTAATTGGCAACTTCTCTTTGTTTACATGTTTACGTGTCTCTGTTGTTTCAAGATTGGTAGAAATTAAAATTGAAATAGAAAATCGTCTTCATTGTATTGGAATGGATCAGCTTAACCTTTTTCCTTGTACACTTTCACCTAGTACTTCATCGCCTAAATACAGTTTGCCTGTAGCACAGTTTGCCTGCATAACATTTTGCCTATATAACAGTTTGCCTGTATAACTTAACAGTTTGCCTATATAACAGTTTGCTACAAAAAAACACTTGATTTTACGCCTAAACCAGATTTTCTTGAAACTCTCACAAACTTTCAAACAAACAAGAAAACCCGCTAAACTGATTTGTAAATTCTGCAAATTCAGTATATTTTCTCTTGAAAATATGGCAACACTTTTCAAAACTGGAGTATCTAAAAGATTATTATTATTGATAAAAATCAACATATTCATATATTGGAAATTGAGGCACAGAGATAACCATCTATTGGAGATGCTCTAGAAAAAAAACTAGAGATCTCTTACAAGCCGTGGAACGGATCAAGTTTTTTGTTGAAGGATTTGAGACATGAGTACAAGGCAGGAGTACATACAACAAATTGGAAATGAGTTGAGTATAGCGAGCATGGCAGGCAAGCAAGTTTGTGTATTCTATCATTCTATGCAGACAAATATCATGTATTATTATGTTTTGATATATAATTAAAAAACCTGTTCACAAATTTGATCAAGTCTCAGAACTAGGCCAAAAAAACAGTTATACATTATCAAAATGTTATACAGGCGAATTTGTACTGGGCGAATGTGTACTAGGCGAATGTGTACTAGGCGAATGTGTACTAGGCAAATGCGTTTTAGGCGAATGTGTACTAGGCGAATGAGTTCTAGGCGAATGAGTACTGGGCGAATGTGTACTAGGCGAATGAGTACTGGCGAATGTGTACTAGTCAAAATGATACTGACCTCAACTGTATAAGAACTTAAATAAAATGTATTTTGAAACAGACGACTCTAATAACGTTTTTTTTGCTCACCCTATATATATAAAAATATACTTACAAAGTTGATAAATCCATCAGTTTCATTGTTCTTTAAATCAATATTTTCCTCAACTTGTCCCCTGGAAATAAAAGCATCTTATTCACCAAAGCATAGATTACAATGCCGCGCTCATTTTCTAGGTTAAACTTTGGTCGTCTTCAATGTTTGTTTTTGTTCTTTTTTTCAATTACATTTCAATTGCACTCATAAAATTCCTCACAAATTAGAAAAAAAAAACATTTTTTGATAAATCACCATTTTTTTGTTTCTAAAACATAATGTTATGTATTAAAGTATAACTTATAGATAACACTTACTTTATAATAGAGGGGAAAGCCCCCCATCCAAGCCCAGCCCCAAGTCCTATAAAAAATCTAGGTTGAGTACCGTTGTGAATCGGGTATTTAGGATAGAACCGCATTTTGCTCTTCAATAAAAGTTATACAGGGTGTCCCAAAAAACATGGGAATTCAGTGACGAATTCGATATCGTCTTTGTTATGAACTAGCATTGTGATACCTTATTTCAAAAGCCATAATATTATTATGTCTGCGAGAGTTTATTTTATAAAAAGGGTAAAAGACTGCAAAAATGTGTCTATAATGTCTCCGCAAGATGAACAGTGAAGACGGTCAAGTTTACTCTGTTTGTATACTGTAATTTGCTTGTTTTACTAAGTAAAACCGTATTCAGTCAACAAACATAAACAAACAAAATGTGAACATAGCAGACGAAACTCTTACAGATTACAACTTTCTCAGTTGGTATCACTATACTAAATCAAAGAATTATTTAAAAAGACGATATCGAATTCGTAACAGAATTTCCCATGTTTATTGGGACACCCTGTATTATGTGTGCAATATTTAATTTAAGTTGTTGTAATTACCAAGCAGAACTATGCCAGCTATCCCTGCTATAAGACCTCCCGTCTTCCCTTTCATATTATATCTGAAATATATCATGTACAATTTACAGTGTAAAAATTACAGTGTACAATTTACAGTGTAAAATTTACAGTGTACAGTTTAGAGTTTAAAGTGTACAGTGTACTGTGCACCGTTTGCTGTGCCAAACTTGTATAAATCAGAACCTGATCAAGGACTTATGAGGAATCCTAGTTTTTTAGCTGAAAATTGATTACTTTCAGTTGTGATTTCTTTGTAAAAGTGACATATGGATATCTGCAGAAACAATGAAGGTAATTTTCAGAATTAAACCTGGAATATTGACCTGGAATATTGACCTGGAAACTTGACCTGGAATATTAACCTGGAATATTGACCTGGAATATTGACCTGGAATAACAAAACTTATGTCAGATTCTATTCCAGATCTCAGAGTTGTTAAATGTTACTAGTCTAAATTTAAATTTAAATCTAATATAAAATAGAGAGTAAAATGCGAGAAGCATTTTGTAAATATTTGTGTATTTTTTTACTACTGTTTCTTCCTACATAAATTTGAAGTAGATTTGTAACAAACCAAACAAATATTCTTTTAGAAATTCTAGGAAATGTTTTTCCAAAGTTTATTTCTATAAAATGTTAATTTCTATAAAATGTTAATTTCTATAAAATGTTAATTTCTATAAAATGTTAATGGCCGCCGAAAATATTTTTCATGATAATAAAAGTGAACAAATACAACCAGTAAAAATGTAAATTAAAGTTTTAAAAAGCATATTAATTTGTATATTTCTGAAACCGACTTGAGCATTTGAATTCAAAATTTTGAGAATTGACCGATTAATGACAAAAGACACATGTTTTAGGTATTTTATATTGAACTGAGTCTTTGCCGCAAACTCTAAATTTCTTAGAAATATATCTTTAAATCAGATGGTGTAAAACTTTTGATATTTCAAACTTAGACTTGAAATATGAAAAACACGAAATTGGTTTGCAAAGAAATTATCGGAATAAAAAATCAGAGTTTGTGATAAAAAAGATGTTTTCCCATAAATTATCAAAATTGTTCATTTCTTACTAGATTGGTCTATTGATAATTGTAACCAATATATGTATACGATTTGGAAATTTTTCATTTTCATTTTTATTTTTTATTTTTTTTTACTTTTTTATCATTAAATCCCATTTACGACAGTAACTTTTACTTAATGTAATTTAGTTTATAATAATCAGTCCTTGGATTAATCAACAATATTTATATATTGGTGAACGAAATTGTACCTGGAATCTTTTATGATAGCTGAGGGTCATCCCTGTAACTGGTTCAATATCCAGGTAGATCCCATGCAGGCTAGGGTCAGGGGTCAACCCAGAGGCAGGGTCTACATACATAAACCCACGAGTTAAATCTTAGATTTGGTTACATACAATAGATACATCGTTTCTAGTTGATAAATCCTTCTTAATTATTTAATTTTAATTATTTGATTATTCATATTTCAGGTATCACAGAAGAAGAAAATTTTCATTCAACTTTTTTCTATAGGTTCTAAAAAGGTACCATTGTGAATTTAGAATGCCCCTTTTTTTAATTAAGTGTCGTGCCACTGAAAAATTAGTCTATAGAAATTTACAAAATATATTTTCACGTAAAATGGATGATTAAAAAATTACCGAAATTATTAAGTTGGTTCTCTGCCAGGAGAAAGTGTGGGGAGCTCATTATAACAGGGGACAGCATACACTGCAATTATATATTTGAAAAAAAAAATCTTAAAGGAAGTGCAGTTTGCGAAAAAGTAATTGTATTTGTTTTTGATCGCTGCTAATTTTACGCGAATACCCCCTTTTAGGGATATATCATATATGGTTCTATTGAACGAAATAAATCTATTTAATAAAGTTCTTCGCAAATATCTATATATTTATATGTTAGCCATAGCTGGCCAAACGGCTGGACCGAATTAGCTTAATTTTTTTAGCAAACTCATGGGTACCCTAGAGAGGCTAAAAAATTAATTTTTTTCTTCTTAAAAATCGATTTTTTAGATATCGAATTTTTTTAATATTCGATTTTTTTATTCCACGGGCAACGCCGGGCACTTCAGTTAGTTGCTTATATAGCTCATAGTCATGAAGTTTTAAATAAAATAGCATTAAGTATATTGAATATATATTAAGTATGCTTAAAAAGGAACAATTTTTGCTATTAGGAAGTAGGAACACACAACTCTAGGTATATCTCACTGCTTTTAGGAAGTAGGAACACACAACTCTAGGTATATCTCACTGCTATTAGGAAGTAGGAACACAGAACTCTAGGTATATCTCACTGCTCACAGATGTTCCTAAGGCGCAGAATGAACAAAATTTTCCGGGAAAAATTGCGTCTTTTTTTAATTAATTGATTAATTGATTTGTACTTTCATTAATAGATTTAAGAGCAGATGATCATTAATCATAAGAAACGCGATGCCTGTGCCAAAAAGCACAAAACTAATGATTATTGATTTCGATCAAATCTGTCATGGAATGTAAAATAACGATTTTTTTCAAAAAACGCAGGCATTTATATTTTACTAGAAAACACTGTCAAAATAGGAAATAAAAGACAATTTGAATTTTTTTTATTCCTCTATCTTTGCAACCTGATGGTAAAAACCTTTCATAAATTTAGTGTTTAACTAATAGAATAAATAATCTGATGAAATATCAAAGGTTAATGACATTGCTTGGGTTTCAAATATAAAGGGAAAATCAGAGTTGTTTCAAGACTCACTTTACCTTTAATTGTCAAATCGCTATATTTTATTACAATTACAATCCATAAAAGTATTGAAAAAAAACATAAGAAATTGACAATAAAACCATTTTTTATTAAATATAAGAATAGTCTGGCTTTCAGGAACATCATTGAGAGGTAGGCTTTGTCGGGATTTTACATTTGAGCATTTTAATTTTTAAATTTTAACATTTTAATTTTTAAATTTTAAATTCGAAAATTTAAATTTTTAAAAAGGTGATCAATTCCATTTTATATTCTATTGGTGACTTTGAACTTGCAGTGTCACATTTCTTTTGTTAAAATTTAGAATGTTTTAGAAAACTTTCTTAAACGTATCCACCCCCAAAGTAGGAGTTTTGAACGTCGAATTTGCGCTCAAACTCAGGATTTACAGATCTTTAAAAAGTTTAATATGTCTCAAATGAATCCGAAAGAAGTTTTTCACAACACTGCATACTCAGTTCAACTGCCTTACATAGCCGGTCACTCCCTTTAAAATTCGGAATATTTTTAGAAAACTCTCCTATTTAAGATTTTATAGATTTAAATAATATAAATTTTAATGATATTACCCCTGAAACGTCCTTCAATCCATCATGACAGGAGGTTACTCCACAGTCTGGAAATAATACAGAGCTGAGGCAAATCATTAAAAGGAATTGAGTCTTTGCCACCAGGTCTGATTTTCTATTCCCTATATCTTTGCAACCGAATGTCGTATTTCAAACTATATGCATTCTCTTATATCAAATAATCTATGTTTGAAATATCAAATGTTTACGCCATCATGTTGCAAAGAAATAGGGATTCTAAAATCACAAGAATCAATTCCTTTAGCATTTAAAGACTGAATGAAAGACAGAAAGCCAAAGAAAGTCCTAATGTGATGTGAAATATATTTTAAAGTGTCAAAAAAGATTTATACAATTCGATTTAAATTTAGCCAATATTTCCTTTTTCATTTTACGCAAACACACCCCTTAAAGTAT